CCCCCCAACTGAAACCGAACGAGATGAGAGAGAGCAAAAAATAACAATAATAATAATAATAAAAATAAACAAACACCAAGTTATATGTGTATTTCAAGCTAACATAGTTATCTCATTTTTAGTTTTCTGCTTTACTTTAGCTTCGCCTTGTTAGCGAGAAAAACGGAATTTGAGCATGTCCATGAGTTGTAGCGTAGTGAAGTATGGGATAAAGACTTGATAAAAGAGAGAGAGAGAGAGCGTCTTGTATGTCTAGACGAGGTAAGTTGGCTCGATGCAGCAGCCACAAGGGATGATGCTTATTCTGTACGCTATCTTCTATTTCTTGTATCATCGTTCTATCGCTAGGAGATGTTTGAAAGAAAGTATGCTTCTATGACTCACTGCTGTTTACTACACGTGCTTTGGGTTGAGGCATTTTCTCTAACTCTATTAGCACGAACCAAGATTAACTACCCACTAACAATTAGTTCCGGGGTGTAATCACGTGACTCATACACGCTAATCACAGGGGGTTGGAGGACTCGAAGGCATCATACAGTACACAAATCACGTCAATAAAGGGGGCAATGCAAACAAGTATTCTTCAATGGAGATGATGAGATTCATGCTAGATATCTTGCTCTATCTCACCTTGCGTTTCGTATCCGAATCCGTGTCCCAAGTAGCGTACAGCGCATCAAATTGTGCCTAATGAAATGAGAAACCATATACCCTATGCCAAAAACCCGACGCCAGATCCTGAATCATTCCGTACCATATAACAGTCGATCACATAGGATCTTTGTAATTAAACCGTTACCATTTAGTGGCTGGCGACGCGCTCCTTGACCTTCTCGAACATGGCCTCCATCTCCTCGGCAATGAAGTCCTCAATCTCAGACTCGAGATGTTGGAGCTTGCTTCCGACCTGGTGAGCGTGGCGGCCAGCGGACTCCTTGGCCTTCTCGAAGTCGGCCTTGAGCTCAGAGAGGGAAGGAATGTCGGACTCCTCATCCTCCTTCTCGGCAACCTTCTTGACAGTGTAGCCGCCCTTCTCAACAATCTCGGAGTAGTTGGAGGAGCCACCACCGTTCCAGGCGAGGACGTTGGCAGTGTTGCTGGGCACGTCTGAGAGAGCACCGACGGTGGCGATGGCAATCAGGTTGGCCTTGAGCTTCTTGGGTGAGATATCGGCAACAGCGTAAGCTGAGTCCTTGGTGGGCTGGAGAGATAGCATGTAGGCCAGGAGACCAGCAATGTGAGGAGAAGCCATCGAGGTACCAGAGATGGTGTTGGTGGCGTGCTTGGAGCCGATCCAGGTAGAAAGAATGTTAAGACCTGGGGCAAAGATGTCGTTGCACTTTCCGTAGTTGGAGAAGTAAGCACGCTCATCGTTGAGGGTAGAGGCACCGACAGTAACAGCATTCTCAGCTGCAGCAGGGGAGTAGTTGCAGGAGTCGGCGTTGTCGTTACCGGCAGCCACAGCAAAGTGGATACCAGCGTCGACAGCAGCGTTGACGGCCATGTCGAGGGTGGTGGACTTGCCACCTCCCAAGCTCATGTTGGCAGCGCTGCCCTTGAAGCCCTTCTTCTTGCCGTTCTTAGCGGCAGAGACGGCCTCAGAGTGAGCCTGAGCGGCGTACTCGACGCCCTTGACGACATCGGACATGGTGCCCGAGCCGTTGGAGCGGAGGACCTTGATGGCGTATACGTGAGCCTTCTTGGCAACACCGTACTTCTTGCCAGCAACGGTACCAGAGCAGTGGGTGCCGTGGCCGTTGCCATCCTCGTCGGCATCGCCGCGAGGAATGGTCTTTCCCCACTTGGCACGGCCCTCAAAGTCGACGTGCTCAACGTTTGTGCCGGTATCGATGACGTAAACGTCAACACCCTCACCACCGTCGGCAGCGTACAGGTACTTGTTGTAGGTGCCGAAGCTCAGGGCGTCGCGGTGCGAGATACGAGCCAGACCCCAGGGGGAGTTCTTCTCGATCTCAGGCTCGTCGGAGCCGAGGACGTGGACCTCAGAGTCGCGCTCGATGTAGTCGACCTGTCAGGGAGGGTTAGCGCCAAGTCTTATGCAGGTACATTGAGCACAGATGCTGTCACGTGTGATTGCGACGCATTGCACCAGTTGCCTTGGCTACGCGCCACGCAGCCGATTCGAGCTCTGGGCTGGTGCCTAGGCCGAGAGATGAGATGGATTGCCACTTACATCGGGGTGCTTTCGGATCTCCTCGATGGTCTCGTCGTCAAAGTGACCAGAGTAACCCTTCATGCCGGGCATCTCGTATGTGTGCTTGAGACCCTCAAAGACCTTGTTGGAGACAGGGAGCTCAGTGGAGCGCTTTCGCAGCTCCATGCGCTCCTGCGAGTTCTTGGAGTGGACGCTCTGGACCCAGTCATGGTGCTTGGAGGCATCCTTGACGTGCTTCTTGAAGACGACCATGTAGCTGTTGGGAACCTCTTTTGCGGAAGTTGACGACAGAACTGGCGCGGCATCCTTGTGGATGGTCTCTGTCGAGAAGGTGGGAGACGCGGCGGCCAGAGCCGGAAGCGCGAAGACCAGGCTGTACCTCATGATGGTGAATGTGCTCGCACAGCGAGATGGACTGAAACTGGGGGATGGAGGGGGATGGGCCACAAGGCTCTAGTGATGGACAGACAAAGGGAGAGAAGAGAGAGGATGGGGGGAGGTGTGTGGAGGAGGGATGGGGGATGAACTCGGGGTAGCTATGGCGATGCGCTCTCTTATCAGGACGGCCTCGGTGCATGGGCCGCCCGATACATGACGCACCTGACCTGGAGCTTGAGCACCGCCAGTGAGGCTGGGGCTGCGCTAGGCCGGATTGGGACAGGATGCACGCGCTCGCGTATCAGCCTGGGGACGTGTCGTATCAAGACGGCTACGAGGCACAGCTGGACCGTGGTTGCTCGAGGGCAGCGGGTGTCCTCAGCACACGCCGTCATCCTGTCTGCTTGCGTATCTCTGTATATTGTGTCTCTGTGTGCAGAATGAGGCGGTCTGACCTGGCAGGCCCAGCGTGGGCTGGCTGCGGCTCCGTCAAGGGCAGTCGACGCGGCGGCGTGCTTACTAGGCCCAGCGTCGCAATCCTCGCTCTTCATTCAGGGTCCGGTTGTCAGCAGAGCACCCCGCGAGCGACGGCGGCCATTCAGCGTTCCCCACCATATTAAACCCGCAGTCTTAGCATTATAGCATGTTTGCATGAGGGTGTGGCAGCTAGACACTGCGCCATCTGCCATCCAGAACAGCATCCTAGGCTGCTCGTCTGTGTTGCCGCAACTTGAGTTGCATCCTCCACCCCCCCGGCTCCACCTCGCGACGGCTGCCTGGGGTAGCTCACACGGCGAGTCCAAGCTCCACCGTCTGTTTGAGCAACACCACCCGACCTTACGCGAAGCATCGGCCTATTCCGCCAACGCCAATTCCCAACACTCGATCTCGCAGCCAATCTGCCACGCCGCCGAAAGTGCGCACAGGGGGCCCGGGAGACATGACTGTACTTGCCGCCCCGCTATTCCCTCCGCCCACCAAGTTGCTTCCTAGTAGCGGCCTCGACTGAACATGGCCACCACCCGGCCGCACAGGTCGTCGACGGCCGCCTCCAGACTCCCGCCCATGAACAATCAGATAGCCGAACTCCGCAGCCTTGCCGATGAACTTACGAGAGCCTCCGAGTCCACCCCACCGCCCCCGGACGTCCTCCACGCCCAGAGCAATGCCCTCCGCCGCATGCGCCAGCTGCTCATCGAGTCCAACAACCACACCCACACAAAGGATGCCTTTCGCCATGTCCGTGGCTTCGAGACTCTCCTCGTCACCCTCCGCTCTCTATCCGGCTTCTATAAGCCCGCCGAACTGTCCCCCACCGACCGCATCGACTTCTTCGAGGTCATCAAGGCCACCCTCGATGTCCTGTCCGACGCACTGAACGAGCATGCCGGTAACAGGCGATTCTTTGCAAAGCGAGTCGAGAATGGCGGCTGGAATGCCCTTGAGCAGGCCCTGGCCAGTACGGGCATCTTTGGCGGCCAGTCCCAGAGCAGACGTGACGATGCGGGGCAGGAGCAGCTTTTCGGCACCCTCTTCGCCTTTGCCCTGGGCGAAGAGGCAATGACACGGATATTCAGAGACGTCGACAAGACGTTTGAGGGCCCCCAGTCGGGCCAACAGCATGATGCTCCGCAAATGGACGGCGGAGAGCAGCCCGCTGAAATTGTCATTTCTAGCCCGCGGTCCATGTACAGTGACGTCGAGATAGATGTCGAGTCACTGCGCGCCCAGGTGCGCGCCGTATTCAGCGGCAATGAAGTACTACAGAATCCAGACATCATGCCCACCATTTTCCATTTTTGGCGGGGTCTGTCTGGCGAGGATGCTCCAGGCACACACTCCAAGCCTCTCTCTGTATCGGTGCTCCTTGCCTTTCTCTACATAACCACACTCTCTTCATACAATAAGGCCGCTCTGCATATCACAGGTGTCCTGAGCTTGATCCTGCCTCTTCTTTTCGAGAACAAGTGCGCTCCTGTAGAAGCTGGCCTATTGCAAGACTTGGCTAACGATTTGGTGCAATACGGCATCAACAAGCTCGACGATGCCTACTACCTCTTCCGCAAGGCTGCATCCTCGGAACAAGCCGCCGAGTTCCTTCTGCGCGGCATGCACTCCTCTCGCGATCCGCCTTTTATACAATTCGACCTATCTCTGCACGGATTCAGCGCCGTCGAACTCCCGGATATTGGCCGACCCTTTCCGCCCGTCTCTCCCGGAGGTGGCTATACATTTGCGGCATGGGTGCGCGTGGACAAGTTTGACACAAACTGCCACACTACCTTGTTTGGTGCCTATGATGACACGCAGACCTGTTTCTTAATGGCTTACTTGGAGAGAGATAGCCGGTGCTTTATCTTGCAGACGTACATGGGCCACTCGACAGGTGTCATTCCTAGTGTAAGATTTAAAAAAGCTCCCCGATTTGAAGAGGGAAGATGGTACCACATTGCTGTTGTCCATCGAAGGGCCAAGGCTATTGGCATGGGTCCTGCCAAAGCATCCCTCTTCGTGGATGGTGAGTTTACAGAAACTATGAAAGCCCACTACCCATCGCATCCTCCAGTGCTAGACAGTAGCCAGGAAAGCTTTGCCTCAATGTCTTCCAGTATTCCAAAGCACCACATACTTGCGTTCCTAGGAACACCGCGGAATCTAGCGCCTCGATTGGGAAGAAATGTCATCTCTTCCAAGCTTTCGGTCGCTTCCTTCCACCTCTTTTCAGAGCCACTCTCGGATGAACTAATTGCTGTCTACCACAAGCTTGGCCCACGTTATTGCGGCAACTTTCAAGACAAGCTCGGGTCCTTCCAAACCTACAGAACCTCTGCAGAACTTCACGTTCACAATGAGATACTCCACCCCGGCAAGGAAGAGCGATCAGACATTGTAGCGGCGATACGCGCACCTGCAAGTCATCTTATACCAGAGTCGAAGATAATACTGAGTTTCTCCCCAAGCTCCGTCATGGATGATGATGACCGAAACTCGATTGATGAGTCTCAATTGATTCGGTCACTGTCGCGAGAGTCTGCCAAGACGCTCCATAAGTATACCCGAATGCATAGCACACCAATCATTGTCAATGCTGCTGTCCCATCAGTAAATGATGCACTGTCCCAGTCACGTGGATTTGGACGGCTCTCTGGTGACCCCGTTGTTGTCGTTCCCCAAGCCTTGGATGATGCTATTTGGCGAGTCGGTGGATGTGTTGCTGTTGGCTTGAAGCTGGTGCAATCCGCTCAAACCCTAGAAAGCATGCTCCGCGCCGTCAATATACTATTAGAAGCTGTCGGAGGCAACTGGCGCAATTGCGAGGCCATGGAGCAGCGCAATGGCTTTGCTGTTCTGGCCGAGGTCATACGCCAAAAGATTGGATTCACCATGGGTGGACTGGTCGCAAAGAATGCTTCGTCTCTTGATGTTACCCAGGAAGACTGCGAGGTTTTTGTTTTGCAGCTGCTGCGAGTCATTCTCCGCTTTGTTGGGTATGATGAGCAGCGCCCGACCGAATCACTAATCATCAATCCTCTCGCATACAGAGTCCTTCTCGTAGACTTGGAAATCTGGCGCAGAGCCACCTCCTTGGAAACGCACAAGTTGTATTACACACAATTTATCCATTTTGCTCGCGGTAGCAAACACCACCACTACAATGCCAAACGCTTTCATAGAATACGTACGTATCTTTGTGTAGATCCATTCGTCTCCAGCTAATACTCTCAAGGTGTTGTCAAGCGCCTCACAGACGCTTTGAAAGGCGAGCGTTTCACCCCACAAACCTTCAAGCTGTTTCTCGATGCCTTTAAGACTCTCCTGTTGACCAACTTCAACGGAGAGAATGCAAGGTCCCTTTCTCTTTTCGTCACTTATGCACTGCATGACAGCCGTGCAACTTACGGTAAACGCCCATTGCGCCCAAAAGCGAGTGCAGGTCGTATTCGCAGAGGCACTACGCCTGGATTAACGTCAGACGGTAAATCACGGTCAGCTAGCCCAGCTCAAATTGGCAGCACTGATGGGCCACCACTATCTCTGCCAGACTTGGGCATCGCCATCCTCAATCTCTTGGCAGAGTTGCTTTGTGATCCACAGAACCCACACGAAGTACTACGTTTTGCCAAGAACGTTACGGGCAAATGGCTTCTTTACTTGCTTGCCGAACCTGAGCAGCGAGTTGTTGTTCTTGGTGCAAAGATCCTTGCTCGATTGCTTGTGCTGAACGGGACGCATTACGTCAAGAAGTTTGCAGACAAGACAGGCGGTTTCATTCTTATGAAGAACAGGCTGCGCCATTGGTGGAATACACCAGGAATCTGGACTATCTGTTTTGCAATCTTATTTGGCCGCGATGTGGCAACAATAGATTTCGAGCGTGATTTCGATGTCTTTAACCTGGTCGATATATTCATTGCCCATTCACCTCAGTCTGAGCTCAGGATATGCTATCCGGAAGTCTTCCCTGTAATCACTGCGATGCTGGAGACTGGGCTGCGGGCGATTGTTCGCGACCGAGATCTGGCTCGAACAGATGGCAGCGCTACCAAACAAGAAAACGGTGAGGGCACAGTCACTCGTGGTCGACGCAGAACAATGTCATTGAACGCCAAGCAACCAGTCGTCGGTATGTACCTGTTTGCCAAAAAAAAGACTTCACCCAATGCTGACCATTTGTAGATATACGTGCGCCTCAGACAGACCGCTTAAACGATTTCGCCGTTGTTCTAAACTCCGCCATCCAGTTCTTATCCGAGCTTCATTCCCGGTCAGAAGGTTTCCGTGACTACGCAAACACATCCAACTATGTTCAGGAGTTGTTGTTCGTTTTATATCCGGTGATTGTGACGTCTGACAGCGTCAGTGCAGAGACTGAGCTGCTTTCAAGAGGCTCAGCATTGACGTTTGAGGGACAGGATGTTGTCATACAGCCACTCTCTAGAGCGAATGGACAGGGAGCGCCTGTGATTCGAACCACTAACATCAGCACCTCACCTGCACCTACGTCTCGACGCGTCTTACCTCTCCGCAAAGCATCTTCTTTCGTGCTTGTGTCAGCAGATAAGAAGCAAACAACTCAACAGCCAAGTCTTAACCCGATTCTCTCCTCAAAAACCGTACCTCCAGTGCCACTCAAGGTAGGCAGCTCAGTGGTCGAGGCTATGCTAGAGGTTATTCTTGATGTGTTTAAAGATCAGATATTCACACGCAAAGACTTTCCTGGTCTGGGGCTATTCCTGAAAACACCACCAGGTTTCCAAGAACATCAAGCGTACTTCGAATCGTACATTCTACGGCAGACTTTGATGTCCGTAAGGAATGCACTCCAACTGGATCAGAAGCTTTTGCATGAGCCGCGAGTTCTTACAAACCTCTCACGGTTTGTCCAGCACATCTCTGAAGCCGTCTTCGAAGGATGGTTCCTTGAAGGTGCAGAGCCGTTGCTCGACTTCGCTGGGTTTCTGCTCGAGTACTTGGAGCGCCCGGATATTGCAGCTATTAAATCCGTCAGGCTTTGCACGCAAGCAATCCAGTCAATTCGAACCACCTTCTTGAAAGTCGCTCTTCTTCGGTTGGCAGATCCAGACGAGTCTGAAGGTGGTGCAACTACCACGGCAGTAATTGAGAAGATGGTATATTGGCAGCCTATTATTCTCTCGTCTGCTAACAATGAGACTTTCTCATTAAAGATGATTTGCTACTTGCTCTACTCGCAACTGTCATCAGAACACATGACCGTACGCATTGCAGCGGCGAGTTTCTGGCGATTACTCATGGTCCAAAAGCCCCATGAAACGTCCATGATTCTAGCCGACGCCATTCATGGAGACACGAAGGACCTGTACGATGGCTTCCAGAAGCTTGTCGAACTCGACA